TAAGTTCCAAATATCGGAAAAAAGAGTGCAAGAGCAGAACTCTTACTTATCTAAACCCAAGAATTTCTTGAAGAAAATCCCTGCCTCATAAGACTTAAAGCCAAAGTGATCACTGCCTCTTCCAGCCTTCCAGCGGTATGCATGCGTGAACTAACCTGTAGACTTATTGATACATTCTAGAAAACGAAGACTATCAGCTATGGTGATAGAGTAGCAGATTCCTTTTAATCCTTCTATGGTACTTCATTTAAAAAATACCACTTTAAAATGACCACTTGAATACTAAATTCATGAGTTCTACAGATAGGTTACAGAAAGAGCCTAAACAGAGCAAGTCAAATCAAAAGCCTTAAAAAGGAAAGACCTAAACGTAGATAGGGCGTAGGGAACCAGCTGCTGGTCTCAAGATTTTTAAGAAAAACGGCTAAGAGGAAATATCAGTAATACTCAAGCTATATATCATTTCAGTTTGTAACTGATGAAAAAAAAGTCAAACAACAAAGAAGCAAACTTATATACATTAAATTATATATTTTTTTCTAAACTAAAGTCTAATCTATAGACTTTTTCATAATACTGTAATAAAAGGTCAGATTTTTTTCCTTCTCCACGGAACTTCACGTTACATCTAGCTTTTATCTCCCCTATTTGTATCCAGTATTTTGTCATTACAAACAACTTCATCTGTTCTTAATGATACTAGTTTGTCACTAATTTAGTTTATGCAATTACATGAAAATAACTTATCTCAAGTATATGTTTTCATTAGTTATTTCTTAGTGATCTAGTAAGTTTCACAATGTTTTAGTAAGATATGTCCTATATAATATTGCAGATATTTTTCAGTGTGGCGACATAATGCTTGGTGATGAAGCAATTAATAAGTTAACCTTCATTATAGGTTTGTCTGCTCTGCACCTTAAAAGCACTTCTCATCTTCTGAAACCATAAACTTGACTCTGTTAAATCTCACAAAAACTCCCTCAGGTAGTTACTAGTCTATTAATAATAAAAATATACCAACCGTTCTAGAGAGAAAGTAAATGACTTCTAAAGAAATCAGCAGAACATTGGCTAATACGTAAAGAATGTTTTGTGCAATACCTGGTTTGCAAAAAGTATTTCCCAAAACATGAAACAGTGTACTACAGAATTCATCCAGGGAAATGCACAGAAGGAGAAACAGTAGTGATGGAATTGCTCATGGGAAAGAACAGAAAAACTATGTAGGACGCGTATGTGGAAACTATTGGAAACCACATCACTGTTATCCTAAGACACCTCTTAGCAGTATTAGAAAATATTTTTTACAGTTCTGATTATTTCTCATGCCTGAATTTTATTTCCCAGTTACATCTTAGGTGTAGATATATATATTTAATAGCAAATATTTTGTGTCCTTGTAATTACAGTCTGGTTTTCTCTGTCATTTTTAGTTAGTGTTGATTATAACACGAAGCAATTTTTTGTTTGTTCTAACTAAACTAAGGCATCCAGGTTTTTATTGTCTACTGACCATCTGGTTCTGGTGTATCAGAACATAGTATAAAAATTACAGTCTTCTGATGAGCTGATCTGTAAACAGTAACGAAACAGCTCTTTAGCACTAATCTCATTACCTATAGAGCAGATCTCGTTGCTTACAAATCTGAAATTCAAGACAAGGATTGTTACCTTTTTTGGTAACTTTTAATATTTTTTTTTTTTTGCACTAGGTTGTAATTCTGCCAAAATCATTACCCTTCTTGTCATTAAACATGTATGTTTGGTCTCAGTCACATTTTGTATAGATATATTGGTATGCGTTTTGATATATATGCAACAGTGAGTACTGCTGTTTATTTAACAGGTGAAACTTCAGTCAAAGACTATAATAAAATTCCTGCTTTGTGTTCTAGGAGACCTTAGACGTCTCATTACAGGAATACATTACAAAGCAGAGATTATAAATTAAATTTAAATTTTTTAAATCCTAATGGACTTTTGTTACAAGACTACCTAGTATCTAGTAAATTTAACCAGTGATAATTGCATACTGCCTACAAACTACTTCTGTTTCCGAACTCTGTATGTATGTGTCTCATCTAAGAGAGAAGTAACCTTATTTATTGTGCAAAATGATTCCTATATAGTTTACGAGTCCTTTGGGGACTTTATTGGCTGAAAAGCAAAATGAAATGTGAGATCAAACTTGCTGGTGTGATGGTTGTTTTTCTTCTTTAGTAAGTGGAGTTTTTATGCGTATACTCTAGCTGCTTCAATAGTTACAATTCTATAGCAACTCTCTCCTTAGTATTAAAGCCATGTAGTGCAACCCTCAAAACGTATATTAATTTTAACTTCCCAACTAAATGTTTAATAGTCATATAGAAGCATGCTATTCCACAGACATAGTTCATGAGACAACATGTATAAACATATCTATAAATGCTACAAAGCAGATTCCATGTATTTACCTATTTTGGTGAAAGTTGAAAAGCATACACATTTGCCATTCTAAGAGATGAAACTACATCTTTCAACAAAATTTAGCTGCTCTCATTTTGTACATGCATTTAATTTTATCTGGAAACTTTCTGACGTTAGGAATAGAACAACTGTAGTTTCTCATTATGTTTGCTGCCAGAATCTATGTTTGGTTGCTCAACTAAAGATCTTATATTGCTAATTACTACCACATGCCCATATCTCAAGCAAAGGAAAACTTATTGGTTCTGACAATCCATTCTCTCAACACTGAATTCCAAATGAAAACTTAAATTTTGGCCAAACATAACATTTCATCAATCTTGTTCTACTGACTGCAAAAGCAACATCAAACAAGCGGTGCTAATGGCTTTTTACTATGCAGTTCCCAAGCTTAGATTCTCTGATGAGCAAAGGACGTCTTTAAACTACTTAGTAATTAATAATTGAACCATAAAACAATGCATAAAGTAAATTGAACAGTTTGTATGTTGGTGATAGACTTGAGTTTCAAACGACAAGTTATTTGGGCAGTAGAGATCAGCAGAGAAAGCACTGACAACAGAGTGCGCTAAAGACAAACAGATAGTGCATATGAATAAAGCAAACAGAAAAGGTGAAAAATTAAATTAAGCACGCCCCCCAAAGCTAGCAGAAGCCTGTGATCTGGAGTCGAGCTTTTCAGGATGCGGGGTTCTGACTGAAGATCAGGTCCAAGTTTAGAGACATCTGAGCAATGCTGGGTACTAGTGACAATGTAGAAGGGGAGAGACTAAAACTCTGTATGGAAAATAGTTTTTAACTATATTCCCCTCTGCTATAAGTCCTTTGGAACCTCAAAAACAGAGGTGTAAGTTCTGTGTTTGTAAACTGTTCTCTCTGAGAAACTAAGTATGAATACAAATATGCAACTGAGTAGGCCTCTGTCACAAATAAACATTTCAGGAAAGTAATGATACGACTCTATCTCAGAAATAAATTAAGGCACTTTGTTAATATGGATAAGTGACTTATGATGCAAGTTTCCAACACTAGTGTTTATAGTAAAAAACAACTTTAGACATTTGAGGGTATTTCAAAAAAATAAAGTATTGAAGTTTTCAATTGTGTCATCTAATTGCTTGAGTATTATTGAAAACACTATAAATTATAATGAAATAAAAAACTTTGACATAAAACAGTACTCTAGAATTAGCTTTGTTGGACATTTACAGTCTTCTCCACAGAGAAGAGAAAAAAAACTTTATAAATCCATCATCGACATTTATAAAATGATACATTGGTGATGATTTGAAAGGAATAAAGTAAAAAAACATATCTTGTTAAAATAAGGAAAGGGACACTTAATTGGATGCGTTGCTTGGGGTACCTTGGAAAGGACTCTATATGACTAGTCTTTTAGGGCAGATATATCTCTACCAGTGAATGTCACAACAATACATAATGAAACAAAAGATGGCAACACTAACGGTGATATAGAGGAGAAACTACTATATCGCCAAGTACATCTAGTTCATTAAAGGTTATATCCCAGCAGGTCTGGATGCTGGGAATGCCAGAAAGAGCTGGTTTTAACTGGGTCAAGAAAACAAGCAGGCTTTCAATAGAAATGTAATGAGCTAATGTGGTCCAATAAAATCTAACTTTTTCTACCAGGTAAAAATAATATTTTTTTTATGGGTTTGGGTTTTTTTTTTTTTTTTTCATACTATATTGAAACTAAGACTACTACTTGGTCTTCTTAGGATAGGTTTTAGACAGCGTGTGGAAGAGAATCAGTTCAAAATCCCTGGTCATAGATCCTAAAATCACGAGTGTTTGCAATATTCATGTGAAATCAATGGGAGCTTGATGAGATCCGAATCTGCTGTTTGAACAATGAGAAGCAGCACTTCAGACTTCTGACGCACTCAGTCTAATGGAATGACTGGATCCAAAGAAATGTTGTATTTCACACTCCAGTAAACCCAAGTTTTCTAAAGAACTGAGTTGTTTGACAATCATGTGAATTATCATTGTCACTTAGTTAAGAGACGACCACGTGATAATCTGATACCCGAAACTGTGAAGTGACAAGTCAACCTTGTTCCAGAAGCTGACTGAACAGCAGCATTTTTTACAAGATATGTCAGTGTAGTCCTAGGGGTATCCAGTTTCTCTTGAAGTAGGGACAAAACGTTGTGACTTGTACCATAGCATAGCCCAGGTCTCTAATTATAGTGTGACAACTCTCCAGTGGTAACATCTGATGTCAAGAAATACAGCCTTATAAGCTGTGAGTCAGCTATTACCACCTTCAGGGGCTCTTTAAAGTCACACAACCACACCTGGTCTTTTTTGACTTACTTTCTGCCTCTGGTTGAGTTAAAAGTCCCGCCGTATTTCTTCCGATTAAGGATGAGAGCAGCAATTTCTGGCACGTAGCGAGCAAACATTGCCTACATGCATGAAACAAAAACACAAAAAAAAAAGAAAATGGCATGCAGAGAGTGTTCTACTGCAGCAGAGGCAGCAGAGCCTCTTGGGATACTTACTTTCTTCCACTAACCGCACTATAGGAACCACCATATTTCTTGCGGTTTCCTATTAACTCTATGATTTCAGGGACGTAGCTGGCAAACATGGCCTAAGAAGAAGATAGGAGACAGAAGAAAAGACTAAAAAGAGAGGCCAAAGAAAGGGGGATGATGAATATTTTCAGAAGATATGTATCTTTAAGATCTGAAAATGCAAAAGAATTAGATCTATGAAGTTGTTTAAAAAAGAAAATTTTAAAAATTTAAAAGTTCTTAACAAACAAAACAAGAGGGTTCAATGTAAAAGTTGGTCTTGGAGAAGATGTATACCTTATAAATTAAGAAAATAGTCAAAAGAGGAAAAATAGGCACACAAAACAAAACAAGAACAAAATTAATTCAAACTGGGATCTAATCATAAAATACAGTTATGTCTAATTCTTCCTGAAGAGGGGAGGGGAAAAAAACTATCCAAGGAACACTGCAAAAACCAAAAAACAAGTATTATGATTACTGTTACATTTCTATTTTAAAAGACAGACTTTTTCCCCGATGATAGGACTCAAAAGAAGACAAAAACAAGATGGAATCAGGGGTTATTCCCCCTGTCAAGAAACAAAAAGGTCACACCCCCGCCCCCAAAAAAAAGTTTTCCAAAAGTTTATGTTTTTAAAAGGATTGGAATAACACGTGACAGAAAAAAGGTTTTGAGGAGAAAATACAAATTATTCTGCCATGTTTTGTCCAACAAACATCTTCCTTGTGGCTGGATACTTTAAAGAGCTACTGCCAGTTAACGTGGTCTTTGTCTTCATATGTCAATAAACAGATTGGAATGCATATATTTATGTTCATATATATACTTATATATATGTATCTGTGTGTCTCATATATGGCATTCGTAACATTAGTTATATACATATCACCTCTAAGATGTATGTATATGTGAAATCAACATACGAGACTAAATTAACAATATACATATGTATGTACGTGTTCGTGAGTCATCCATGAAGCACTCACCTTGCATGGTGTAAATATTACAACAAACCTTGCTGGTTTAGAGAATAACATCGCAACAGGTCCTATAATATTACTAACACTGATAAATAATAGAAAAGTTACGTAAGACAATTAGTAACTTTGATGCTATGTACATTTAGGACAAAGAACACGAGAATTTGATGATACAAAAGCATACTGGTAATGGCCACGTGATAAATTGTGTGTTAAAACTGTGCTACATGACACGAAAGGATGTTTGAAATTAAAGAGAATGTGGTTTGTCATCATCTGGATCAGGCAAGCTGCTCTTTAAGGCAGTCCAAAGCCACAGTGTTTGTTGGAATTCTGGGAAGGAACACAGAAGGATGGGTAGGACTTCTGAAACCGCAAAGTGCCTTTAAGTACCAATAGCAGCCTCAAAAAACGCACTATAGTCAGTCACTAAAAACTAAAGGACTACAAATAACATTATAAATTTAAATTTTAAGGCACTTCATGTATTCACAGGCATTACTCATTTAAATGGTTTAGAAAAATTCTGATTCTACTAAATGACTAATTTGACAAACTCTGCCAAATTATTTATCTATAGAAAAAAATGGGTATATTAAATGTATTTAAATGTTTTATAATTAATTTTATTTCATGAAACCAGATATATTATTTCTTAAATTACAGCATTGAGATATACAGGACCAAGTATTAAGGTAGCTGAAATAATAATAATAAAGAGTTTTTACCAATCCCCCAAGGATGAAGAAGACCATGAAAAGGCGACCAAGGGTTGTTTTTGCATAAACATCTCCATAACCAACAGTGGACATTGTAACCATCAGTAAATAAACACATTCCCAATATGTTAGCGGTTGATTATTTTGGAAATTTTCCCATGGATCCCCTGAGTTCTCCACCTGAAATGTACAAGAAAACGAACGAATTAATAGAGTTTTACCACAAATTACTCCACTGATACATGCGTGTGTGCATGTGCCTGTATATTTATATAATTTGGCATATAATATAAACTCTGGATCCTTTCCGGGGATTTATTTTGAACAAATACAGAACCTAACCCTGTCCCAGTTATAGCATTACAGTTCTTTTGCCAATATACATAGCCTTGCCACTCATACTATTTATGGAAAGTATCTTTTTATGGAAAGTACCTTTTCTATTCACCATTAAATAATACAACTTACAAATGCAGGCAGGTAAATGCACTTTATACCAATTTGCTCAGAACTTTTTCAAAGTTAATCTTGCTTGTAATGCAATTATACTTGGTTTTGGTTGTTTTAAAGCATTGTGTAGCTATTAATAGCACCAGTGACAAGTTCAGTGATACACTATTACTTTTCCAAGAAGCCAGCTACTGTATGTCACAAAGTTATAAGTTTATCAGTGGGAAAGGAGCATGCCCTCTAAAATCTCTTCCATGACAAAAAGTTTGAATTTTGAGGATTCCTACAGTAAAATAGAGAAACTTATGCTGAAACACACACACACACAAAAAAAACCCAACAAAAAAACCCACCCCAAAACCCCACAGCACCACCACAAAAAACCACTAAGCAGATAACCATTCTGAAGTTAATCTTACATAGCTGGATACAGCTCAAGATAATTCAAGTGAAATCCGTTAAATTGCTCTGGACAAACATCAATATCATTAAATTATAATTTTAGTCCAAAACCATTCCTGAATAACTTATTACTATGAGCACCTTGAAATTTTCCTAAGTTGATCATAAAATGTACTTAGGGGACAAACACTTAACCATATTTAATCATATTTACCAAAAATCTCATTAAAAGCTATTGGTTTAATATGTTTAAAATACACAGTTGACATAAACCTACCATATATACACATATTCACATTTATGAACTCATATGTACTTCTATACTAACTATCTTACATTTTTCAAGTATTGTTAAGTGTGGAACAAATATCTATTACAAATACTGTTTGCTACCAGCAACTGAAAGCTATGCCAAAAAAATCTGAAATTTAAAAACATAAGAGAAGGAAATAATATCTAAAAAACTGCTACCCAGAATGTTAGAAATCCCATTAATTCTCGTGGAAATACAGAATTGCCTTTTTTCTGGCACAACGATTGATTTCCCAGGACCTCAGTACCATTTCAGCTCTGGCAACCCCTTCCAGGAAGCGCTGCGGGTAGTTATTTAGGAAACATTGCCACCTACTGGTAAATTGTAATCATTCGAGAAGCTGCATCCGTTCAAGTCTCGTATTTTATTGCTGAGGTTAATGATGTATTACTTACTATGTAGAATTAGTTTTGAGTAGAAGCCTAAAATTCGGGAAGCTGTGATGTCTTTTTTATTGTACTCTGTAGCTATGTTAAGGGATTATCCAGAACAAGGCAATTTCAGGTAATAAAGTTGCTCAGAGAGCAGATGATCCATGAGAAAAAGTCAATGAATTATTTTCAAATATACTTACCAAATGTATGAACCCAGCTGCTGTCAGCCACGTGCTGATAAATATAGAGCACAGATTCACTAGCTTGATGGAATTACTGAAAATAAACAAAACCCAACAACAAATAGGAACTTAGACTGGAATTTACCACACATTTTTAATATGTATCTGTATATAACTGCATACTTTAGACTAAAAGAGTCTGATTCTGTTTTCTGAAAAGATGCAGGCTCCCTAAAAAACTTAAGCAAAAGCCTACGCAAAATATGTATTATTTTGTCTTTGCAGAGTTCACATTTGCGTAATTTAGATAGCTTGAAAGCAAAATTCTAATGCATTTCAGAGCAGAAAGACAAATGGAAACCTTAGCTACACCCGTACTCACCATCAAACTAATAGAAAGAAATAATGCTTTTTCACAAATAATTTGGTTGCCTCTCAGTACACTCACCTTCTCATTTTTCATTGCTACACACCTCAGCAATTATTTACATGTAAATATTCTACTATCCTGGAATACATCCATGCAGGTCAAATGATTAAACTGAGCAATGCCGATTGACATTAGCTGACAAACACTGCGTTTATACATACAATTGTTTTTTTTAAAGAATTTCATTTTTCGTTAGCTTGTATGCTGCTTCTATACTCATTGTGCTTTTGACCTGTGAAGGCTTTAAAAATTAATAGCAAGAGGATGGCTTTGTTGCATACTGACCAAATGTTAACACTTGCATACATGACCGCAGGGCAAGACTATTCCCCTACAGTTATAGCAAGCAATTTATGAACTATTGCAGCCAATCCGTAAATGTCATGCTGTTTTTGTGAAAAAATTATGATTCCCAAATTAAAAGACTTAGGTACACACTTCCTGTGTAAAGTCCTAGGTAATTTTCATATTATTCTGCTTGCATGAACTCCTATGGACTTTGTGGAAGTTCATACAGAGCTAGAGCATTTCATACTTCAAATTTTTGTAAAAAAAGAAAAAAAAAAAAGATTGAAACCTACCAGTCAAACCCTGGAACCTCTTTTTATTCCTACTGAGTAGTGTGTTCCCTATTGCAGCCAG